GATAGATAGATAGATAGATAGATAGATAGATAGATAGATAGATAGATAAGCAAAACAAAACCTGAAGCCAGGAAGAAGCCCAAAATTGATAGCAAGTTAGTGGCAAAGTCTAGCGGAGAACAAGCCCAACTTTTGGTTCATCATATACCTGCCTAGGGTAGAAAGATATGCTAAGTCATGACACTTTTCACCCCAGCAGGGTAGGAGAGAAGAAGAGAGCAAAGAAAGGGGAACTTATCTCACCAGAGCCACTGTCACCCTCATGCAGGAGCTGCCCACCTCGCCCACCCCCACTGACAGCCATCCACTCCCCCTACTCCAACAGTCAGAGTTATGAGAGAGACCATCTTTATGTTGAAATGGTTTCTACCTCCCTTTAGGCCTTCTAGTCATCACCCCAGCCCAGAGTGGCCAGTCTAAACCATGTTTATATTAGCACAACAGAGCAAAATCAATAAAAATCAATAGAGCAAAAACAACACTGAAAAGCCAATTTCTGCCCTTTATTTCGCTCAACCCCCACAACAGCCATCTGAGGCAGAAAACATTAGTTGTACCCATTTCAGATGAAGAAACAGAGACTCAGAAAAGGGGAGCAGAAACTTGACTAAGGTCTCAGACCTATCTGGAGTAGCTCAACCCAGCTATTCAGGCTTAATGAAAGCAGATGTCTCCTTTGTGGGTTGGGCCTGCACGTGGCCACAGGTAACCTGGGGTCATCCTGTGTTGGAAAATGGCCTTGCTTCTGCAAGCAGAGAAAACAGCCAAGTCCAGCATGTGGACCTGCTACAAGGACAAAGCTTCCTCTAGAATCCTTTTTGCATTGCAGGTCGAAGGCCAGCTCTTCCCACTTCCCGCAGAGTGGCCACAGGCTACTCACTGCTCCTCTCTGAGCCTCAGCGTCCTCCTGTGTTGTAATTATGATAAGCAAAATCACTGATTATGCTAAGCTAATATATACAAAGAGTTTAGAGCAAAACTCAAAACTCCCAATAAATGTGGCAGGTAGTTTCCACTTAGAAAGGAGGAACTTGAGGCCTAGGAAGATAAAATAATCAACCTGAAGACACTGGGAAGAGCATCAAGTAGGAAAGAGGAGTAGATATTTATTGCAGTCTTGCAATACAGCAGATGTTTCGCAAAAACCAACTTTAATACTCATAAAAACCCTTGGGTAGGAATCATTGCTCATCCCCAACTGAAACAAACAGTATTAATCAGCCTGAAGACACATACTATTTGTTTTTCACCAAGGAGGAGTGGGGATGAGCAATGATTCCTACCCAAGGGTTATTAAGAGTATTAAAGTTGGTTTTTGCGAAACATCTGCTGTATTGCAAGACCGCAATAAATATGCACTCCCCTTTCCTACTTGATGCTCTTCCCAGTTCCTCATTTATTTCTCCATTCTGGGACTTACTACACACATTTCAGTTCATTTGGTACTTATCCAGGGACCCAGTACTGCAAATGTTCAAGGAATACTAGTGGAACAATGACCACTGGATTCACCACATCATGCGTTCTAGGATCTATGGTCATAATGGCCAATTGCTGTGAAAAGCAGGGGCCCTGGCTTGGCAGGAAGTGGTAGTGAGGCCTTCAGCAGGTGAGGGAGGCCAAGTAACCACAGCCACTCGTGGCCTCGGGAGCTGTGTGCCACGGCAGGTACTTGAACTGAATGCAGAAGTCAGGAAATGGGCATAGCTAGTCAGTCAGGATCAGGGGGCCCCAAGCCCATTTATCAATCTGAATAAGAAACAGTTGGTTGGAACCAGGATGCCCCCAAATCTACATGTCCCAAGCCCATTTATCAGACTGAATGAGGAGCAATCAGTTGGTGTTGAGTGAGTGTATCTCCTACCCAGTAAAAATTTAATGTTCTGAACAACACCACAATAATACAATGACATAGGAAGTGATCAAATCACCTTTTGGAAAAGCAGGACAAGTAACCTGGGAGACACAATGGGCCTCGGTAACCTAGGAGATGGCACAGGCCTTAGCCAATCAGCAAAAGCACAATGCCCAAATACTAATGGCTGAACTCCCACTCCTTGCTCTCTACCACCAAATCAGCACCTACTTCTTGCCCCCTCAACCTCTACCTACATAGGACCCTTCTCTGCTCAAAGAGCTTTCCTGTCCTTCTCCTTATCTGCCAATAAATCTCTGCCTAACTCCAGTTTCCATGTTGAATTCTTTCCTCACTGAGACAAGAACCAAGAGCCCACAAGGATCAGGCTCGAGGTCCACGGCCTGCGGGCCCAATACCACATCATGGGCTGGATTCCATGCCAAGACTCTTTCTAGAATATACCTCAGTGAAAAAGGGTGGCCACACTCAAGTCTAACTGTCGTTATACCAGGGCTTTCCCACCACTTATTCAAGTTCTATCCAGCAGCAGCAGAATCAAGAATTTGCATAAAGTGTTTTCCTAGTTTCCTAGTTATGAGTGGAGAAGAAAAAATTCTCCAAATGAATAGATGAGAGAGTTTAATTTTAACAAATTACTCAAGTGAACACTTGATTTATTCATTTCCATCCCTAAAACATTTTTTTTTCAATTTGGTTTTTAACTTTACTGCAAAAAATGTTCTGAAAATATTTTTCCTTCAGGAAAGTGGGGCTGCTTTTGTGTGGGAGTATCCAGGATGGCTGAGCAGTGGGTACTCCAGAGAACACAAGGCTGGATATGGTGGTTCGGGTCCTGGGCCCACCGCCAGGCCCACTCTGGCCACAATCCCCACTCCCCGGGTTTGCTGTCCATGGTTTTAACATGCAGGAATTAGAGATCTCTAAATGGAAGGCCTTTCCAGGTCTGGTTGTATAACTCCTTTTGAATCCACAGCCTGGTCCCTAAGGGCATTACCCTGCTGTGGTTCTTGAATTTGTAATGCATCCCCAAGGTCACCAGTTCACAACTGGGAAACTTGCTGTTCTTACTGGGGACAGGACTGGGGGAGCTGACCTTGGCATGGTGGATAGGCCAGCAGTGTGCTGCAAGCATGGCCTCCTTCCTTCTCAACACAGTGGCCTGGGGCCACCCTGGACCTCCCTTGCCTCATCTCTTCAGTGAGAAGAGTTGATCTTTGTCAGGGCCTCCCCAGTCAGACTTTGAGGGATCCCACCTGAGCACATGACCCCTCTGGCCCACTGTGTCATTGCTTCCTAATACCAACTCAGGCCAGTCTGTCCCCAGACACAGTCCTAAGCCTGGCCCAAAGGAACTGGATGAGTGTACGTGATTGACTGCCATGTGAGTGAGCAAATGTGTGCATTAGAGAGGAAGGTACACTATGAACAAGCTGGTAATTGAAAGAGTACTTGAGCTGTGTGGATGAGCGAGTACAGAATGAAGGA